AAATTAATTTATATTTAAAAAAAATTAAAATATAACTTTAATTTTATTAAAGTTTTATCAATTGTACAATTAAAAACTTTCATGTGACATTAGTAATTAAAATATGGTCAAGAAATGGGTTTAAATCCCTCACCTCAGTGTCAAAAAAATAGTGCAAGGCAACATAAAAGGAAATGGAAAAGGTCTCAAGTCTAAGGTCTGAACGTGTTAGTCAGGTTAGAAAAACAACGAAACGTCTTTCTTGCGTCATGGTTACCGCAAGAGCTTGATCCCCACTTCCCTCCAATTGGCCATGTTAAAAAAGGAAGAAGAAGCACAAGGTGTGATAGGAACATGCTTTAATTGCTAAGACTCATTGTTCATGCATCAGTCATTGAATAGACTAATCACCTTTACATTACAAAGAAGTGGTCCTTGTCAGGGCTTTGAGCTAATGAAGAATATGGAATCTGTGTGAACTGATATGCACTCACATGGAGGAAGGTCATGTTTGAATTTTTTAAGGATCAACATTTGATACCAAGATTTAATAGAATAAATATATTACGTATCTGAATCTTCATAGTTAATATATTACTTAATAATTTTTAAGAATCATTATAATTAGAAATTTCATGATGAAACTTACAAAATAAATATAGTTAGTGTTGGGTTTAGGTCTTCCTCTCCCTAATCAACTTCTATATAATGACAACCAATAGGTCAAATCATGCCACTCCCTAATTCTCTTATTTATAGAGGTAAGATTTTCTGAATTGGAGAAGAAATTTAACTTATTATAATAATATTTTAGATACCCTATCAAGTAGCTCAACTTTAATTCCAAACTTTACACATATTCATATTATACATTATATAAAACTAAGATAAAATATAAATCCATTTAAATCACATTACTTTATTAGATTTTATCGATTTTTTCATTTGACTCAATTTTAAAAACCAAATACAATTAGTGGTAGTACACTTAAAAATTCCCAACAAGTCATCTTGGAATACAACACATTTGAACAGACCAGAAGTTGATTGCTGACCATACAACAAACGTGAACAGACCAGAAATTGATTGATGACCATACAACAC